AACAACAACCACCGCACTCTTTTCTTGCAATGAACACAGTCCTCTGGGCAACAGAGGGCTTTTAGAGTCTTTCCCACAAAGAAGCCCTAGGAGACTTTAGGAAGGATGCCTCAGGGCGATGCTGCCACCTACAGCCAGAGCCATCCACGTGGCCGGATGAAGTCATGAAAACAGTCATTCAAGGCCCGTCCAGGTGCACACAGGAGCTGCTTCGCTGAGTAAGAAGGTGCCCATTAGCTCCAAAGAGTTTTTGGCTGAGGTTTCCCGTGATTGCTACAGGAACCCAATGACAGCAAAAAAGGACAGGTCGTAAGTGTGAGCAGTCGTTAAACGGGAAGGTCGTGAAATGAGGAATATCTGCGGTAATGAAACAAAAAACAAAAAACGCTTCAGAGGCTTGTGTTTGTGTACGTGAGTGATGGTGTGCACTCAAGTTGTGAGACAGCCATGCAGGCCCGAGGTGACTTCGCCCATGAGGACGAATGCCAGAGTCGCTCCTGTCCACTCTGCCTTGGTTTTGCCTTTGGTCCCTCTGTCTTGACAGCAAGTGGAAGGAACTAAGAAGACCACAGAGGGCAATTTTCTACAGGAAGATGCTGCCTTCTTAATTAGCATCCAAATAGTATATACGTTGATAAAACTCACATTTCCAGTGATAATCAACCAGTTTTACAAAAATAAAAATCATGCCTGACATTGAGTGTTTAGTTTGGTTTTTCTCTCTATCAGCTAAGTGTTTGACATCTGCTTTTTAGTGACCTCTCACTTTTAAAAATTTTCTCTAACGTCTCATCATGAGTCATTTGGTTTTCCTCTGATAAGTTTGCTCCTCAGGTATCTCAGTTCTTGAACAAAATAGCAGTTTGCCATCTTTGTAAAATATCATAATTTGAGTTCATTTATGTGTGCCTTCGTGGTATTTCTGTACAGTTTTAGACGAAGAGTTCCAGTAATGTTCCAAAGGTAGACAGGGATGACAGACATTTACAGGTCACGTTAAAAACACTTGTTTGAGCCAGGGGTGGTGGCGTATGCTTGTAATCCCAGCATTCGGGAGGCTGAGGCAGGAGGATCGCTGTGTGTTCGAGACCAGCCTGAGCTACATAGTGAGTTCCAGGTCAGTCTCAACTACACAGAGATACAAAAAAAAAAAAAAAAAAAAAAAAGAACCAAAAAACAAACAAAAGAAACACTTGTTTGTTGATGTCTTCCTGAATGACTGACCACGACACAGGTACTCGACATTACACCACTACTTTCAGTTGGCCTAAGCAACCACCTTACTGTCATTTGGTGGATGAGAAAAATAAGTAAGGCGCATAAGGGTTTAACTGCCTAGTCGAGGTCATCTGAAGTGAGCTGCAGGAACACTTAGAGATTCTTGTCACTCAGGCCTGTGCTGAGGTCCTAGAAGGAACATTAGACTTCCCCTTCTCTAGCAAGAGGTTTACTTCAGATTTCCTATCTGCAAGATGGGTAACAACTTCTCAAATTGGACAGTGTGATAAAAACCTCATAGCAACCCAGCCAGTTCCTAGGAGAAGGAAAATAAAATGTCCCATGAGGAAATATTACTGAGTGTGAAAAAATAAAAGGTCTCCTCTAATTTTAAAATGGTAACATTACATTTTTCTTAAATTCTGAAGTAGTATATATTACTAGAAAGACGATCAGTGTAGAATTATTCAACTTGTTTATAAGAGTTAAGAAAAAAAAAGAAAGAAGGGAATGGAATTAATATGAGAAAAGGAAAAAAAATGGAAACAAAGTCTTTGTAGATATAGAGGGGTGAAGGGGTTGAAGGGAGGGCAGGGGAATGGGGAAAAAATAAGAACCAAGATGGATTATGTAAAGGTGCAAATTTCCAATAATGAAAGTCATTATATTGGATACCGTAAAAGTACCAATAAATTTTTTTAAAAAGAAAAAAACTGCTAGCAATCTTATTAAAAAGCAAAGGCTTTAGTAGAAAAAAAACTAATGATTTCTTTCATTATTGATCTGATAAACTACTTGGGATAGCATATATGTATCTCTTATGAATCCTTTCTTGAGACATAAGCACATTTTGTTTGTTTTTCATGGCTCAAAGAGAAAATGCAACTACTATCCCTAACCTTCTATTGCCTTTAGATATTTTTCTCTGGGCATTTTTTGTTTAGCTTTATTTTTTAACGTATCCTGGAGATTGAACCCATGCATGTTAGCCAAGGGCTCTACCACTAAGCTACATCCCCAGCCCTGGTTTAGATTCTTAAGAGTCGAGCAAGATCTTGAATGGAAAAAGAAAAATCCTATACATAAAACTAAATCCAATACACAAAAGCCAGAACTTGGTGTATTGGCTACACATTTTCATTTTACATTTTAAAAACTTATCCATACCAATGATTGTACAGCCCTGAATAAGCCACACAGCACAAAATTGTACATTATAAAGAGGTGAATTCTATCTCGGTAAAGCTATTATTTTCAAAAAGACATTTAACTGAATACTCAGTAAGAAAATTGTCTTATAAATAATGTGGTTTTTTCCCTGCTAGCACCATATTTAAGAGTATAATACAAAAGTGAAAAAATACAAAGATGATGCCATCTGTTGGGGTAAGGTATCTTTTATGCTGTAATTATAAGACTCAAATTCTGATTTCAAAGATTTGTGTGAAATTCCTACTGAAACCAATAACGTTAGAATTCAAAGCTTAGGGTATAATTTGGCACATTCCGCAGTGCATTTATAGTTTTAAAGGATTTCTTGTTATAACTTTCACCTGCTTTTGTTTCACTGACAAAAGGATCAGGTGAGGGCTGTGTTCTCATCATGATATTTCTTTGCAGTAATTCCAGATAGAAACATGAACGTACCCCAGTACAAAAATGTGGATTTGAACTCACTGACAATTTTTGGAAATGAATATTGTAGCCACTCTCTGCTTGGATTTTGAAAGAAGTTAGAAGAGCAATTCTTTCCTAGAAAAGTGGTTCTGATAGCATCAAAGAACTGTAGAGTCAGAATCACTGTAGAAATAATCTAGTTTAATCCAGGGCCCTCTTGGATGGAGAAATATAGAGCCCCAAACAGGTTAGGTCATTTGTCCAAGGTCACACAGCAAGTCAGTGAAACAGCCAGGTAGAGAATGTGTTTCCTGCTTCCCTAATCGAACTTTTCACCCTCTTCTGACCCACACTAAAGTACAATTATCCAAAACAAAAATTTGTTAAGCATTCTCAAGTTTTAGAAAATATTGTATATAACATAATCTTATGCCCAATCGGTAGTACTAAGACATTTTTTTAAATTACAAGTTATGTCCCATTACTTTTACTGCTTTTTTTCACGAACGGTTTTTTGAGGTATTTTGTAATTAATATCATAACAAAGAAATGGGGGAGTGAGGAAAGGGTCACATGCCTCCCCGTCTTCTTCCAAAGTTCACTGTGCCTTTGTGACCTTGAGAGAGTTCCAAAACTCAGCCAAGTGAAAGAGTCATGGAATGAACGCTCTCACACTGTGCTGGAGAGCAGGACCTGCAGCGACCACCCTGGAAAACAATCTCACATGCTCTGTCTAAAGCCTTTTACGTGGCTTTTACAGTTTAACCTAAACATTCCATGCCTGGGGGCCAATTAGATTAACAAACTGAGACCCAGAGATACAATTTTGCAGAGAAAAGTTCATTGTGGGATACCTTCTTATGATAAACAGTGAGAGGCATCAATAAGGGAATAGTCAAGAATACCACACAACAGTAATTTGATGATGATGATTGCACCTAATAAAATTTAGAAGAACACAAAATACATTTTATGTGATTATAGCATGACATTTAAGAAGCAGGATACAAAATAATATATATGGCTTATTTTTAAAGAATATAAAAAATTGCATAGAAAAATATAGTGGTTGTCTTTGCCTACTAAAATAGGAATAGTTTTCTTTTCTTTTTTTTTTTTTTTTTTTGAAACAGGTCTTGCTATACTACCCAGGCCGGCCTCGAACTCAGGATCCTCCTGCCTCAGTCTCCTGAGTAGCTGCAATTACAGGCGTGCACCACCACACCTACCTGGGGTAATTTTCTTGTATTTTCCAAATTATTAATGGAAAATATATCTGGCTCTCAGAGTAGAGAAATATCTAATAAAAGTTCTTAACACAAACATAAAAGAGCCAAGCAATCTAAAATGAATCCAGAAGATAAAATTAGTATCTACGGTAACACTGAATGAAGTCTCTATGGCTTTGGATTCAGATGCCTTTCTACCGCACCACATAACCCACACCCCCAGCCCTCAATGTTGCTGCCAAGTGCTTTTCTTTACAAAATCCTGTATGATGAATATCTAACATAATATATAGTTCTCTGCGAGTCTAAAGAGTACCATTCCCTCTAGAGTTTATAAATATTTCATTCCTTTGATTTGCTTGATCAGATCACGCCAGCGAGAACCAAACTGCACAGGCCCCCCAAACTTAGTTCAGGTGGCGAGACCCCTCTGACTGCTGCCTGAGGGTGCCTTGATTTAAGTCCACCCCTCTTTTACTACACGTGGTAAAGTCACACATTTCCTTTGTGCTATGGCAGCATCTACACTCACACGACAGCATGTAGAAGCATAATCCCTCATTCCACAAAAATCCCCAATTAACCAAAGTCGTTGCACTTTAAAGGACGATGAAACACTGCTTTGAACAGGAAGAAGTTCTTCACTTAAAAAGAGAATTTGTTAAGGGGATTTCCAAATTCCTAAGTCTCACCTCTAGAGCAATTCTCCCTGTTGCTTACACTCTACAGCAATAAACCAGATAGAAGAAAGCTTTATCCCTCTGTCAATGTGATTCATGTTGTAACATTTGAAATGAGGAGGATCCCTTCCTGAGTGGATCTCGGTAAGACAACCATGGAGGCAAACTGACAACAGCGGGTTTCTGCTGTCAGAGATTTGCACATCAATCAAGGCAACTCCATATGGCATCTGTTTTCGGTGATCATGTCACTTACCATCAACGTCACGTTAAAGCCTTGCGTGCAGATGGGTTCTTTCTCCATATTCACAAGCAGATGATCTCTGATGTCATCCCCGGCCTTTCATGCTGCGAAGAAAACACAGTGCAACAGTGTCTCCTGCTGCCAGTGTGGTGACGCACAGGGGCGAGGGAGGCACTGACTCTAGAGAAGGGATGAAGACTCCCCTCCCTGGCAGTACTGACTCCATCCCAGCGTATACTTGCTCTCCATCCAAGTCAAGTGTGCTTTGAATTTGCATCACTCCTTTCGAAGCGTAAGAACACCATGCTCTCTGGCATTAGCACTCCTCTATTATTCAGCAAATTCTCACGTTCTGCTCAGTTTTCACGGCTTCACCCATCCTCGCCCAGAGAAAGTAATGCAAGCTACTGGTTAAACTTGCTGTCCTGTCATCAGAAGAACCCGAGTTTCAGGTGCCAGAGAGAAATGACTGGTGTTGGGATATAGTCTTACTGTTTTACAGCATAACATGCAGTGGGAAATCATCCTGGAAGGCTGCCACTAAAACCCACAAGGATAGAAGTTCCTTTCCAGTATTATTTCAGATCCTTGATGGAAGAAAAATGTGCGTCTGGGAGCAATCAGACTCAAGCATATATCTTCCTCTGACGCAATTTTGTGAATCCAAAGTGATAGAAAGAAGTTGTGACTTTTGACATTACCAAATAAATTTGGAGGTACTGTTTGGATCAATCAGTTACTTCTCGGAATAAATTCAGTATGTGTACACCCTTACCATATGTCAAAAGAATGCACTGGATATCTCATGAATGAGTTAATGTATCTAGAAACAGTTGGGGTGTGTGTGGAACTCATGCAGAAATCTGCACAGCCTTTGTCCCAGGCTCTTTTCCCCCCAGCTCCCCTTCCATCTACACCATCCACAAGATTTCCAGTCACTTCTCTCACTTTTAAGAACTGCTCCTGAAGAACGGAAGTTGCTTTTTTTAAAATCTCTTGTTTGGGGGAAATCTGACAAACAGGGTTGTATCCATCCTATTTGCTGAAGTAACTGCCTTTGAGTGCAAGGATGGTATGTTAGCCATGTGCTCAGAGCTAGCTGAAGAGGAACAGTAATTGTTCTACCTTCCTTGATCTCAAAGTAATGACTGAGATAGGTGTGATATGAAATCACACTCAATTAATGCTTCAGATTTTGTTTTGTTTTGTTCTATCTGTGGGGATTGAACCCATGGCCTCACACCTCAGAGGTATGTGCTCTACACTGAGCTCCACCCAGCCACTTACCCTTCCTTAAGTAGCAAAGTAGCCCTTTGCTCAAAGATTGACTGTAGATCTGGTTTTATACTTCTCTGCTCTGATCTATAGCAGTGATTGCCCATTTGGTATGTAATCCTGTTTAACCTTGAATTATTCCCTTTGTTCCCAAAGTCTGTGTCTCACCTACAGAATAGGAATGACATATTTAGAATATCTTAACCTCTGGTAGTCCCTCCTGTCCAGTGTGCACTCATCGAAATTATTTGAAATTTCTCCTTAATCTTAGAAATCTTAGCGACAGCACTAACAAAGCATAGAAAGTGTAGTAAGAGTTAATTTGCTAATTTATTTGGTAGTACTTAGAAATTTAAAGCACTAAGCATTGCAGTGAATAGCAATTTAATAAGATAATTACAGGGGAAGAGGAGGGGCAGGAAGGGCCAAAGAGGGATGATGGGTCAAAAATGATCAAGAAAAGAAAAATATATACATATGTATCACTTCCTCAAATCAAGTGTAACTATTATGCATTATAAATAGACACTAATAAACAAAAAATAAAAGAAATATGTCTTGTAAAAAAGATGACCAACTATTTCCGTGACTGTGTAAGTATAGACATGTTTTACTTAAGAATATTTTATTCTAAAAAGAAAAAAAAAAAAAAGAATATTTTATTCTTTCCTGCTTGTATTGGCTTGAGTATAGTAATGAAAGTTTTGATGACTCAATTTGAGTGAAAGAGAAAGAGGCATTGTTAGTTTGAATAAGATTTACCTTCCCATTTAGCAGGGTCATTTTCTCTCAGCACACAGAATTTTTTTTTTTTTCATTTTAATGTGCCATTTTCATGCCCTGAGTAGGAAGACTGTTAAAGGTAAACACCTGAGCTAATCTCTAGCTTAGGAAAGCATTCGATTACTGGCTTTGCTTTGTGTTTCAACAGGGACACCCTAACAAGACAACCAGGCTCCCCTCTAGAGTGGCAGGTGAGGACTCATTTCTGTGGTGCATACAGTTAAACCCCCCATTACGTGTTCTGATAATAATTTGATTTGCTTTTGCAGTATGTACTGTCCCCTGATCTCTGAGCTCATCCTATTCTAATCCTCTCTGAAGAATAGCATTTCCTAAGACTTGTTGACAGAGACCACTTCCTTCCATTATACTAGCACTCTAGGACCCAAGGCTACAAGGAAAATATAAAGTTATTTTAAAGCAAAAAATAGAGTGAAATAAAACTAAATTTTGTAAAATGCTGGGCCAGGGATTTAGCTCAGTGGTTCTGCTGCCTGCCTTGCAAGCACAAGGACCCGAGTTCGATCCCTGCTACCAAAAAATAAAAATTAAAAAATTTTTAAAAAACCTTGTAAAATGCTGAAATGCATTTACTGAATTTTTTCTGTCAAGATGTGGTTTTTAAATTATAAATAACTCAGCTTAAACTATATTGGAGACAGGAAAGCAGAAAATAAACGAAACAACTTCAAATCAATACTAGAAAACAGAGAGGGCTGGGGACTTAGCTGAGTGGTTCTGCCGCCTGCCTTGCAAGTGCAAGGACCCAAGCTCAATCCCTGGAGCCCCCCCCAAAAAAAAGTAGAGAAAATAATTCAAAATAAAGAATTTTAAATAAAAAGTTACTTTCATTTACTGTATTGAATATGAACTGTATTACTATCACTGGTATGACATGTGAACAGGGCTGGAGGTGCAGCTCAGTGGTAGAACACTTGCCTACCGTGCATGAGGTTCTGGGTTCAATCTCCAGCACTGCAAAAAGTAAAATAAAAAATATTACTTTTCAGAGACAGTGTATTCCATGTTTGAATCCTCAGTGCTTAACAGAATGCCTGAGCAGTAAAGGCACTCAGTAAGTATTTGACAAATGAGCGAGACAATGAATGAATGGCCAACACACTACCTTAGATGTTGAGTTTACAGTTGCATCTGAAACGAACATATAGCAGGTAATATAAAGAATTAGAAATCAGGGCCGGGGATTTAGCTCAGTGGTTCTGGCAACTGCCTGGCAAGTGCAAGGTCCTGAGTTTGGTCCCCAGAAAAAAAACAAAGAAAGAATTAGAAATCAAACACCAGATTCTTTGAAATTAATCTTGGAACTCATTTGAGAATAATTATCTGAGAGGGGCTCAGCTGAATATGCTGTATAGAAGAGAGGAAAGGACAAAATCCTAGGTATTTGGAAAGCCCTAGATAAATTCTCAGAGGTTAAAGCTAGTGAACTTTTTAACCAATCATTCTTCAGCTCCTGTTTCAAATAACTTTTAATATTTTTGTCATAGACCTCATTCGGTATAGCATACTAGGTAAAGGATACCATTTCTCTGGAGTCTACTTAATTTTTTAAACCATAATCATAGTGGAAAAAGTGCAAGAGAAGCTAATCTTCTTGCTGAGAGGGAACACATTTGGAGTTCTCATGGGGACCAGGGTCAAGAATACACCCAGAAGTGTGTTTATCGAGGGTGATACAGAAAATCTTGGCATATGTAACCAATTTGGGAACATGTATATCTATCTGCATCCACATCAGACAGTTTGATAGTTAAACCCAGAGGCAAGATTTTAAGTGATGTACAAACAAGGCAGAAATAAGAAAAGCATTTAAAGAGCACATCATTAGATTCAGAATAAAAACACTACCCCAACCGGTTTCTACCAAAACACACCACCTTGTGGAATGAAAGATAAATGCTTTACTACGTTCTGCCTCTTGTGGATGATGTCATCATTGTGATTATACAAAGGGGAAACTTCTCAGCTCCAGATGGTGACCATCCCCTCCCTCTGGTAGCTCCAGTCTTCCTAAGTAAGTATAATTTTTGCTCAATTCAATTGTATAAAAACACATTGCCTCTTTTCACTCATACGGGTGGATGAGCACAGTTTTATTACTCTCTTTAGTCTTTGTTAATGCATTTTTCGGAATGATTTATTCTTGTAGAATAGTGATCACAATCTCTTTCTAGATAACAGGACTTTTAAAAATCTCTGTTTTATTCATTTCTGAAACAGGTCAGAAATTTAAAAAAAAATGTTCATAAAACTTCCTGGTATGTAAAAATACTGCTTTATTTTCTACTTGTATGTCACTAGATTCCCACTAATTAATACGGAAAGGAGAGTGGATAATTCTTCTTTGTTAACCTTCATATACTAAATAACTATTTCAAAACTATTTCTAGGATATTTAAGGATTTAGAAACCGTGTGGTTCAACACCTTCCTTTTAAAAATTAGGAAATGGAGGCCTAGAAAAGTTAATAGAATCACCTAAAGTTATACTATCGGTTAACAGCTGAGCTAAAACCAAATCCCAAGGGGTGAAGGGAGGGCAGGGACAAGTGGAAAAAATGAGAACCAAGACCTGTCATGTAAAGGTACAAGATCCCAATGATGAATGTAACTGTACTGTATACCTAAAATGTACCAATAAACTCAATGAGAAAAAAAAAATACTCAAATCCCAGGCCTTCTACATCTCCTAGTGTATTTTCTAATATATGACATGATATTGCTAAAAAGAAGAGTGAATTTTAAATGGGCTTTCCAGACAGTAAAATCCATTATGCGCAGCAACTATGCCACTTGTTCAAAATCTAGCAATCCCTTGTGACTTTTGTACTTCAAGTCTCAAAAGCAATGCTAAGATTTCACTCTGATGAAAATAAAGCTATGCTATCCATTTCCTAAATGGGATATTTAAAAAACATGTATTTTACTTTGAGATTTGCTCTGTTGTATGTATATTTTTTTAAACCGAGAAAATGGAAACATTTCTGATTTTTCCATTAGCTACAACAGCAACGTATTTCCTTCAA